TAATTTTTGTTGCTTGCCCCAGTATTTGAGTTACAATTTTGAAATTCTAAATTTATCATTTACGTTATATGTTGTGGATTTTCTTTCATGTACTCCATCCTGGGATTGCCTTTGCTATGAAAGAACAGCACAGAAAATTCTAAAACAGCTATGAAAATATTGGATATTCCAGATTCTCACGATTTAAATTGTTTTTAAAGAGATATGTGATTATTGTCTGTGTTATATTATTTACTGTATTCCTTTATTTTGCTGTAAGCTGCCCCTTCGGGAAAAAGGGGCAGTATACAAATAAAGCTGCTGCTGCTTCTTCTTGTTTTTGGATCTTAAGCAAGATATTTAAATATTTCAAATGCTCTACCAAATAAATAAATAAAGACACACATAAATACAGCTGGTATACTTTGCTTTCAGTGTGGACTAACATTATTTTGCAAAGAGCTCTCTGAGAATTTGTATTTGTTGTTGTATTTGTTACTCTTCATGGGCCTATGTTGCCATCTAGTGGACACTAGTTGCAATGAAGAATCCGCAAATACGACTTTTGGGACATGGTGCATCTACAGTACACTGTAGAATTAATGCAGTTTGACACCACTTTAACTGCTTTGGCTCAATGCTATAGAACCCTGGGATTTGTCATTTGGTGAAGCACCAGCAGTCTTTGGCAGAGAAGCCTTATTGGTTTTCTAATCCTAGTATTTATTTATTTATTTATTTGTCGTGTCAGAGCAACCAGTCCATTATATTACATTTCTAACAGAACAAAGCAAACAAACAGAAAAAATACACAACTTGTGAGTTTGGTAGCTGGTTAAATGTCCTTTGACCAGTATCTGGCCACTTGGAGTGCTTCCGGTGTTGCTGCAAGAAGGTCCTCCATTGTGCATGTGGCAGGGCTCAGGTTGCATTGCAGCAGGTGGTCAGTGGTTTGCTCTTCTCCACACTCACATGTCGAGGATTCTACTTTGTGGCCCCATTTCTGAAGGTTGGCTCTGCATCTCGTGGTGCCAGAGCGCAGTCTGTTCAATGCCTTCCAAGTCGCCCAGTCTTCTGTGTGCCCAGGAGGGAGTCTCTCATTTGGTATCAGCCATTGGTTGAGGTGCTGGGTTTGAGCCTGCCACTTTTGGACTCTCGCTTGCTGAGGTGTTCCAGCGAGTGTCTCTGTAGATCTTAGAAAACTATTTCTTGATTTAAGTCGTTGACGTGCTGGCTGATACCCAAACAGGAGATGAGCTGGAGATGTCTCTGCCTTGGTCCCCCATCACTATTGGCTGCTACTTCCCGGCGGATGTCAGGTGGTGCAATACTGGCTAAACAGTGTAATTTCTCCAGTGGTGTAGGGCGCAGACCCCCCGTGATAATGCGGCATGTCTCATTAAGAGCCACATCCACTGTTTTAGTATGGTGAGATGTGTTCCACACTGGGCATGCATACTCTTCTAATCCTAGTCCCTTTCCTTGATGCAAAAAGTTTAGACCTAGTTTAGAGATTTCCCAAGAGGTACTGTAATTGTCCGGATGAATAACCATCTAGGTAACCAGTTCCATTGTCAAGTGGCTCTTCCTATCAATACATTTCTTTTAAGCTTCAGCTGAAAACAACATTTTGTCCAAAAGTGGGGAAGAAGCGGAGACTAGGACCCATTAAATTGCAAATCCCACTAGTCCTCACCAGTGTTGAGAGATGAGGGGAATAACATCTGGAAGACAAAGACATCCATCAGCCCTGCCATTAACATGGGTGCAAGGCAGATTAAATCTGCAACAAGTTTCAAACTACAGTTCATTGCATGCTTCCTTGGTTTGGATTCAAAGACTCAACTAGACCTCTAAACCTAGGGCTGGGCTGTAATGATTGGAAAGAGTTAGCTTAAAATGTAAGATTTGTGTGTGTGTGTGTCAGGAACAACTTGAGAAACTGCAAGTCGCTTCTGGTGTGAGAGAATTGGCCGTCTACAAGGATGTTGCCCAGGGGACGCCCAGATGTTTTGATATTTTACCATCCTTGTCTTATGTCCCTGCATGGGGAGCTGGAACTGACAGAGGGAGCTCATCTGCCCTCTCCCCGGATTCGAACCTGCAACCTGTTGGTCTCCAGTCCTGCTGGGCCAAGGGTTTAACCCATTGCGCCACCAGGGGCTCAATTACAAGTTCAGGTGTGATGGACAAAGGGAATCACTGATTTTTTTTAAGAAAAGAGAATTGAGCTTGGAAAGGTATCTTTTGAGATCCCCATCTCTTAGAACCTTTATGGTGACTGAAAGATTTAGATAGACATGATTACCAAGCTCTTATTTGAAAACATCAGCTGTTTCCTCTCCCTAGGCACTGAAACCCCCTTCCCAAGAAAAACAGGGGGCAGACTGACTTCAAAATACTGATTTTTGCAAGCAGCTAAATTAAGTCCATGGGTTTTTTTTTTAAAAGGTGCACTTCTCCTCTATAACACTATGTAACATGATTTACACATATATAAATGTCATTTTCTAATTGCCTCTATCATAAAAGCATGGAAAAGTATATATATAGTGACAGGAGTGAACCAAACAAAAAAACAAACAAACGAAGTGCAAACTTGGCATTATACTAAATATCCTTTGACCAGTAGCTGGTCACTTGGAGTACCTCTGGTGTTGCTATAAGAAGGTCCTCCATTGTGCATGTAGCAAGGCTCAGGTTGCATTGCAGTAAGTGGTCAGTGGTTTGCTCTTCTCTACACTCGCATGTCATGGGGGAAAAAAAGGGTTTTTTGCAGTTTAATCAACATTTTTTTGGAGAAAAGTTGATTAAATTGCAAAAAAAGTCGACAAAATTGCAAAAACCTTGTTTTTGTGGGACACCTTGCAGCACATTTTGCTATAGTTTTTCAATGAATACCTCAGAGAGTTTCAACCAATTCAACATAGGAACAGAAAGTTTTTTCAAATTTTGTTACATAGTGTAATAATTTCTCCTACACTTCCTTCCTTCACTACCCAATTATATTTTTGAGGTGATACCAATAATTACCGTATGCTTTTTGGACTGAAATCATATGTATAGGATATGTGCCTGCATATCCTATATAAATAAGTGGTATCTATAAGCACAGTGAACAAAGCCTTTAGCAATGCCATCCTTAAACCCTCTTCCTCTTCATCCTGCCTAGCTGGCATTTTTAAAGGAAGCATCAGTTTTGCGAGGCCGGTGAAGGCAGCCCGGGGATGGTTATAGTAGCACATCTTCAGTACAAAATTCAATAAAGCTTGAGTTGTGAAAGAGTAGTATTCTTCTTTATTAGTTCCTGCTATAATGGTGTGTGCCTGCCTACAAGGAAGGCAAACAGCAATTACTCGAAAACCCCTTGTGTGAATAATAAAATCGATAGAAAAGGTGAAAGCAGAATAGCTTGGTTGCAATTGAACTGCATTACCTGTGTCTACACTGACCATATAACACAGTTCCAGTTATTTGGTAATGTAGATCCAGTCTTACAAAATCTTTGACCATCACTGCCAAAATGCCAGGGCCTCACCAAATTACTAACCACAGGATCCCACAGCATTGAAGCAAGGCAGTTACAATTATGTCGAACATCATTCATTCTATATACAAGACAGATTAAACAAGGAATCGGCAATTTCACTTTGGAACACAATTTTTGTTCCTGGGTTATAAATGCCATTTCCTAATTTGCTCTATCATAAAATCATGGGAAAAGTTTATTAAACAGCAAAAACTGTTTCTGTGGGAGGGACATCTTGCTGCACATTTTGCTATAATTTTTCACTGAAAATAATAATAACAACAATAACAGCAACACTTTATTTATATTCCGCCCTTCTCACCCTGAAGGGGACTCAGGGCTGATCACAGTACACATACACGGCGAACATTCAATGCCGCTTTGTATAGACAATACACAGACAGACAAAACAGAAGGAGGTGTATTGTTTCGACTCAGTGTCCAGCTGTTTTGGTGCTGTGGAAGGTTGGGCTCAAGTCCAGCCACAGGGGGGCACTGTCACTCTATCCTCTGTGACGAAGAGCCGTCAGGACTTCCTCCTTTCATTTGGTCACCCAGCATTTTCTGATCTTTTCTTTATGGCATCGTAAAACACCTCCCCCTATTTTCGCTAATTAAAGCTAAAGCTGTTTTCAAACTGCTTAGGTAAACAGTGAGCAGGGCTGACAGTCGGGTGCTCACGCCAACCTGGGGCTTTGAAGTTGCAACCTTTTGGTTGATAGATCTTATAGTTGCTGGTGATTTACTAGCTGTGCCAAACCTCCGGCCCAATATCACAGTCTCAACCAATTTAGCATAGTTTGTGGCAAGTTTCTGGAGTATAACAACTACTTTCAAAGTAAGTACCACACAATTAGGAAATAACACTTTGAAACTAGGAACAGAAAATGTTTGAAGTTTTGTTACGTAGGACCCTTCCACATTGCCTCTTTATCCCAGGACCTCATCTCAGATTATTTATTTATTTATTTACTACATTTATATACCGCTTTTCTCCCCCTAAGGGAACTCAAAGCTGTTTCCAACATTATAAAGGCAAAATTCAATGTCGCACATACATATGTGAAAACCAAAATATGAAAACCAAAAGATAATAGCAAGATAATAACATATAACTATCAATTAACCTATATCCCAGATTATCTGGCAGTGGGGACTCATAAATTCCAGTTTAAAGCAGATAATCTGGGATCAGATCCTGGCACAAAGGACAGTGTGGAAGGGCCCATAGTGTTATAGTTCTTAGGTTCTTTTGGGACCGAAATTCCCATGAAATGATGATGAGGATTAAAAGTTTCTAATTTTTTTTGTCCCCAAACTGTAGAGCAGTGTGTTTAGATAGCAGTGGGCCATCTATGAGATCAAGCTGTCAGGAATGGTGAGAGCTGAAGTCCAAAACACCTGGAGGACCGAAGTTCGTCCAGAGTTGGACTATCTCTATTTGGACTATCTCTATGGTCCGGATATCAAGCCGGAAGCCGGAAGCCGGAAGTGCTTCGCCCGGGCGCTGCTCTCTTGGTGGGAGTTGTCTGCGCGCTGAGTCCGGCCTCTTCGGGGGGTTGTGGAGGGAAGGCAAAGCCGAGGGAGGCCTTGCAAAGCCGGCGGGGCAGGCCTGGTGGCTGGAGGAAAGGCGGGAGCTCTACTAGGAGAAGCCCAGCCATGGCTTCCATATTGGACCAGTATGTGGACTCGCTTTCCCACTCGGCCTCCTCGCCGCAGAGCCGCGCCAGCCTTGGAATCCCGCACTCCGGTAAAAGGGAGGGGAAAGGCCTCTGGGCGTGGGCTGGGGGGCCCTTCCTCGGGCGGGAGGCCTGCCTCCTCGACTTTGCAGCCTTTTGCACAACGAGCCCGGACACTTACTCCTTTGGGCCACTAGGCGTCCGTCTGCACTGTAGAATGAATGTAGTTTGGCACCGCATTAAGTGCCATGGCTCAGTGCTCATGGCCTTTGGCCTTCTAACATAAATAATGCCTGTGTCTCAGCAAACGCCCAGGATTTCAATAATAATAATAATAATAATAATAATTGTCGAAGGCTTTCATGGCTGGAATCACTAGGTTCTTGTGGGTTTTTTCGGGCTATAGAGCCATGTTCTAGAGGCATTTCTCCTGACGTTTCGCCTGCATCTATGGCAAGCATCCTCAGAGGTAGTGAGGATCCTCACTACCTCTGAGGATGCTTGCCATAGATGCAGGCGAAACGTCAGGAGAAATGCCTCTAGAACATGGCTCTATAGCCTGAAAAAACCCACAAGAACCTAATAATAATAATAATAATAGCCAGCAGAGTGATCTTGTCTGTTGTGGACTCATCTTGTTGTTTTTCAAATAATAATAATGATAATAACAATGTCAAAAGCATTGCATTAAATAGTTTATCTAAAACTGATAAAATAAAGGGATCACAAGCTGGTATATAGTTTTAGACCCAAAACGAGCAACAGCGACTGCATTTTCTGTAGCTTTAAACAAATCTTCCTCTGTGCATATCACCCCAAAGCATTACTTTACAACAGAATGGAACTAAAGGTAGCTAATATATTATTTTAAAAAGTACAGGTGAAAGCTAAATATAAAAGTTATCGAAAAGCATTTAAACATACCAAAATCTGTGGGTGCTGACGTTCCATTAATCTATACAATGGTGTAATAAAATGGCACCCCCTTTTAAAATGGCAAAATCAAATGTTTTCTCTCAGGCTTTAAAAAATATTTTAAAGCCATGAATGCAACATATGTGGATAAGAGGGCCAGCTGTATTTTGATATGGCCCTTTTCTCTTGCTATATCACATGCTATAGTTTCCTGCAAATTTTTAAAAAAAGAACCATAGACAAGTAGCAAAAAGTAGCACAATATGCTTATTCCTTGGAGAAAACATCATTCCCATTGAATTCATTTCCACATTTCTAAGTCTCATTTTATATGTGATAGGTGTCGCCTAAATGAGAGAAAATTACTTTCTTCTCACTGAAGATAGGAACTGTTCAGTGTTGCTAGTAGATTTATTTCAGATTAATATTTCAAATTGAGATTCTTATATCAGGCTGAGCCTCCCTTATCAGAAATTCTTGGTATCAAAAGTGCTTCAGAGACCAGAATTTCCCCCATTTTTTTGAATACCCGTTTTCGTGTATATATTGTGAATGAGGGATGGGGGGAAAGGGCTACTAACACATTCAGCGTTTGCTGAATTTTTCCTCAAGGAACGTGTCTTCAAGAAGTGCCATTGTTAGGAATATGATAGGGAAAAGAGAAGAGGGGGAGTAGAGGATTCTGGGTCCTTTTTTTGTCACAAGGCCCCAAAGAAAGCAGGTACCCAGCTGCTTCCCTGGCTATCAGCGCATGTACTTTTTAGCAAAGTACCCCTTGAATCTAGGAGGGAAGGGGAAGAAAGCCCAATTCAGCCACACCATCAACTGGTGCTTCCCTTGGCCACTGAAACCCTCATCGCCAGGATGTTTTATGTCTGAAGTTATTTAGTGGTCTCTTTTTGTCTCCTTAAGGTTACGTGAACGCTCGCATGGAAAAGGAGACACCCATTTTCAACAAACAGAGGATTGATTTCACCCCTCCTGAGAAGATTAACAGCCTGGTTGTCTCCTCCAACCAACTGTGTATGAGTCTTGGGAAAGACATACTTTTTAGGTAAATGGTGCAGAGTTTTGTCTTACTGAGACTTTGAATGTGGGCAAGTATCCAACCACTGCTCTTAAGCATTCAGGGTTTTTTTTTTTCTCAATTTGATAAAGTATGTTTTGAAATAGGGAAACTGTTCACTTGATAAGAAACCAAAGAACTGTCTCCAGAATCTCTGAAAATTGTCATATTAGGTCTTATATATCTCTAAGTGAGAAGAAGTTGAGCTGTTGTGCATTTGAAGTAGGGCTGTAATATGTTTAAGTAAAAGAATAAAATTTCCAGGAATTTTAAAGCCATGGGAATAAAAGATGTTTTCCCCTATTTTATAGGTGGAGGGATACACATACACACCGAGGGAATTTTTTTTTAATCTTGAAAAATGTAATATTACAGACTAAGTCACTTTATTACTTTAGGAACATAAATGCATTATATATAACATTACTAGGCACAAAGTTATCATGTTTGATATATTAAAAGTATATTATGTTATCACATCAAATATAAATAGGCAATGTGTAAACATGCAGAACAAGGAAACACATGATCAGTATGAGGTGGAACATTTGTTTTGAGCAGCTATTAATTCTTTAATAAATAAAATCAAATTTGTTGGCCAATTTTTAGTCACACCTGTTTCTTGTCCAATAAAAAATCAAACATAAATGGCACTTGGCTGAACTGTGGCAACAATTTTCACAACTGTTCAAGTAGTGGTGTCACAGAGTGCTTGCCTTGTAGGTATAGTTGTGCGGGTATATTCTACAACAACCATGAATCTGAGGAACTCAAATGTATCTTCTTGTTGGAAGATAATTACATAGAACATGAGAATTCACAGCCCGATGATTGTTGGATGTCTGTATCTTCTATGCTGAGCTATTTACAGACCTTTACTGTGTCCAATTCTGGGCACCACAATTTAAAAGAGATTGACAAGCTGAAAAGTGTCCCGGAGGAGGGGGGGGGGTAATTATGATCAAAGGTCTGGAGATCATGCCCTATTAGGAACAGCTGAAAGAGCTGGGTATGTTTAGCTTGCAGAAGAGAAGGCTGAGAGGAGACATGATGGTCATGTATAAATATGTGGAAGAATGCCATGAGGAAGAGGGAGTAGGGTTGTTCTCTGCTGATCTGGAAACTAGGACTCAGTGCAGTGGGTTAAAATTACAGTAAAGAAAATTCCATCTGACCGTTAGGAAGAAGTTCCAGACTGTAAGAGTTGTTCAGCAGTGGAATTCTCTGTCTCTGAGTGTGATGGAAGCTCCTTCCTTGGAGGCTTTTAAACAGAGACTGGGCCACCATCTGTCAGAGGTGTTTTGTTTGTGCTTTTCCTGCATGGCAGAGGGTTGGGCTAGATGACCCATGTGGTCTCTTCCAACTCTATGATTTTATATGGGTCTTCATGGTGATTTGTTCCTCGGAGGTAAAATTGTATTCATCCTTTTTGTTTCCTCTGCCTTTCAACAATTCGTTTTCTTTCCCCTTTTATGTAGACTTGACTTGGCCAAGGCAGATGAGCCCAACCAGGTAGAGCTTGGACGGAAAGATGAAGCCAAAGTTCATAAGCTATTTTTAGACCACACAGGTAAGGTGGAAAGAGTAGACGCAAAGTGCTACTTAACATCTTTAATAAAGGCCTAGCAGCAAAAGTGGTGTCAGACTACAGTACTCTACAGTGTAGCTGTACTCTAAGACTTGGGGGGGGGGGGGGGACACAGATTTTTAGATTTATATCTGCTAATGGTGGTGCAGCGGGTTAAACTGCTGAGGTGCTGAACTTGCTGACCAAAAGGTCAGCGGTTCGAATCCGGGGAGTGGGGTTCGTTCTGACTGTTAGCCCCAGCTTCTGCCAGCCTAGCAGTTTGAAAACATGCAAATATGAGTAGATCAATAGGTACCACTTCTGTGGGAAGGTAACGGCGCTTCATGCAGTCATGCCAGCCACATGACCCTGGAAATGTCTATGGCTCTTTGGCTTAGAAATGGAGATGAGCACCACCCCCTAGTGTCGGATATGACTAGACTTAATGTCAGGGGAAATCTTTACCTTTGTGCATAGGAATTGTTAAGTAATTTAAAAACAGGTATGCTAGCAAAGGTTTTGAAGGTTGCACATTTTCTTTTACAGTTAATATAGCATTTACTGAGACCAAAAGGCACGAGATTCCAAATAGTATTGCTTATTAGAATGTGCAAATCAATGTGAAAACTAAAAATATATCCATTACCTTCTGAAAGTGTAAATGTTTTATATGAAGTGTCTGAGGGCACAAAGTGTTAACCCTAAAAATAAAAAGCAGGTGCATTTTATTATGTTCATTTGAACTGAGTAACAAATGTGTAGTAAAATAATCAACTAGGATAGACTGATGGACTGTGAACTATCTTCCTCCCAATAGTAGACACAGCATGCCCTTATACATCAGTTGTTAGAAAACACAAGTAGGATAGATAGCACTGTTACCCTTTAGGATTCCTTGTGGGCTTCTCACAGTCAACTGATTGGCCATGACTCAGGCAGAATTCTTGTGTATACAGTCTGATCCAGCAGGGGGAGCCCTTCTCACAAATATTATCTGGCCTTTTCTGAACCTTCCTTAAGCATCAGAGCATGTGTTTGGGGCGAAGAGGATTGGGCCATTACTATTCATAACCTTCATCTAATTCACTGTATTCATTCTCCCATGTAGGTTCTCACCTTATTATTGCCCTGAATACCAGCGAATGCCTCTATTTGAGCCGAAGTGCTCAGAAGGTGCGCATCCTGTCCCGCTGGAAAGGTCATTTGATTGAAAGTATCGGCTGGAACAAGTTCTTTGGCACGGAGATGAACACAGGCCCCATTTTGGTTGGGACCTCCCAAGGCCATATTTACGAGGCTGAAATTTCAGTCAGTGAAGGCAGTCTCTTTGGCACTAATCCTGACCAATACTTCCGCCTCATTTATAACCTGGAGGAGGAAGCGGGACCTGCCCCTGTCTGTTGCCTTGAGATTGAACGGGGCATTGATGGGAAATGTTTCATCATTGCCACCACTCGTAAAAGGCTTTTCCAGTTTGTTGGCAAGATCCCAGAAGGATCAGAGCAGCAGGCCTTTGGTGCCATATTTGGCATGCCCGCAGATCACTTGCCTGGCTTCCGAGAGTTTCCAGCCAGTCTTGGCTACAGTGAAATAGCCTTCTATACTCCAAAGCTTCGTTCCTCTCCTAGTGCTTTTGCTTGGATGATGGGAAATGGTGTCCTGTATGGATCACTGGACTATGGACGTCTTGACTCTATTCTGAGTGATGAGCAGGTCTGGGAATATCCTTCTGATGTGGATGCAGTAGCCAATAAGCCTATCTCCATAGTGCTCACTCAGTTCCACTTTCTGCTGCTGTTTCCTGACCATGTGAAGGCCGTCTGCACTCTGAATGGACAGGTTGTCTTCCAGGACATGTTCTTGGAAAAGTTTGGCTCTCTGAAGCGTATGATCAAAGATCCCTCATTTGGGCAGATCTGGATTCACACTGAAAAAGTGGTGTTTCGGTACAATGTCCAGCGAGAGTCCCGCGATGTGTGGAAGATGTATATGAATGTGAATAAGTTTGACCTGGCAAAAGAGTATTGCAAGGATCGCCCTGAGTGCCTAGATACTGTGTTGGCAAAGGAGGCAGAATACTGTTTCCAGAACAGGAGATACCTGGACAGTGCAAAATGTTATGCGTTGACCCAGAATTACTTTGAGGAGATTGCCCTTAAGTTTATTGAAGCCCAGCAAGAAGAGGCATTGATGGAATTCCTAATTAAAAAACTAGCTAATCTCAAGCAGTCAGAAAAAACTCAGACTACCTTGCTGACCACTTGGCTAACAGAGCTGTACCTAAATCGCCTGGGCATGCTAGAAGGAGATGCCTCCAAACGGGACCTCTATGAGAAGACTCGCGACAAGTTCCGCAGCTTCTTGAGCAGCCCCAAAAACAAAGAATGCCTGTTTAACAACCGAGCAACCATTCATGAGCTGTTGGCAAGCCACGGGGACACAGAACATATGGTGTACTTTGCTGTCATAATGCAGGACTACGAGCGGGTGATAGCCCACTACTGTCAGCATGAGAATTACAACGAAGCACTCGAAGTCCTCTCCAAAATCAAGGATGAGAATCTCTTCTACAAGTTTTCTCCTGTTTTGATTCACCACATCCCCAAGAAGGTTGTAGATGCTTGGATTGAAATGGGCAAGAAACTGGATGCGAAGAACCTCATCCCTGCCCTGGTCAATTACAGTCAGAGTGGGAGCACACAGCAGGTCAACGAAGCCATTCGCTACATGGAGTTCTGTGTGAGCGAGCTGAAGGAAACTCAGCAAGCCATTCACAATTATCTGTTGTCACTCTATGCTTTGTGTCGCCCTGACTCGCTGTTATCATACCTGGAACAAGCTGGAACATATGCCGACAACATCCACTACGACCTGAAATATGCACTTCGTCTCTGTGCAGAACATGGCCACCACCGTGCCTGTGTCCATGTGTACAAAGTTATGGAGATGTATGAGGAAGCTGTGGATCTAGCTTTGCAGGTATGTGCGCTATCATATGAACAATGAGATCTTTAGCTTTCAAGAACATTTACATTTAAGATCTCAGAGAGGGTGGGCCGGCTTTAATATTGAAGGTGAATTGAAACTGAACAAAGAAACACTGTTGTTAGCTTCAAAGTTTGAAAAGCAAGAAGAGCTTGGAAAGTTAATTTTGGAATGGGTGGCTTCATCTCCCTAGAAACCTCCATCCAGCATGTGAGTGGAATTCAGGGAGCTGTAATCCACGATCTGAAATCAAGTAACTCTTAGCCCAGGGTTTTGTAGTATTAAAATTGCCCTGATCAGCACTCTTTTCAACAACTGAGATCGTCATTTTTGTCTATTTTACCCATCCTTTGCTCTGGGAAGCTCATAAGGCAGTAACCATTCCACTGTTGTCCCAGTAACTAGTAATAGAGGTCTTGTGAATACTTCCTGATATGTGCCTGCCAGGGATGTATCTCAATCTTTCTGTGGTGACAACATTCAGAGATGTGTGCTAATTTTCATGTAGTCAAAATGGCACCGTGCAGAAAGAAAGGGATGATTCCAAGATGTTTGAAAGGAATTTTGAGATTTGCTGAAATAGAACAAATGGTGAGAAAATAAACTTTTAGAGAAACCTCTTCCCATTCCCTTGGAAATCACAGAACAGAATCCAAAATAAGCTATGGGCAAGAAGTGAGAAACAAATTCAGAAGTATGGGCCTACTTAAGATGCATCTACACTGTAGAATGAATGCGGTTCGACACCACTTTAACTGCCATGCTATAAAATTAGGGAGTTGTAGCTTGGTGAGGCTCCAGCCCTTTTTGGCAAAGAAGGCTAAAGGCCATCTCAAACAAGCTCATAATTCCATAGCCATGGCAGTTAAATTGGTGTCCAGTTAATTCTGCAGTGCAGATGCACCCGTAAGCCACTTAGTACCACTTAGTAGGTCAAATTTAAAAACAAGATCCATATGGAAATGTAACGCATTTCATTCTGGTTCCTCTGGACAGGCAAATTTTCAAAATGATCTCTGATTACTAATAATACCATCTAACACCAGTTGAAATAGATGAAGGACATCTGGTTCTTATCCGCCTGTTTTGACATTGGCAGATTTCCCTTTGCAATGCCCTCTCATTATATATTTTGTGATAAGAGTGGGACCAAATGGTAACAGTATCCTTCCTTGTTTTTAACTTCTTGATGTCCCCAACCCAGGTTGATGTTGATATGGCAAAGTCCTGCGCAGACCTCCCTGATGAGGATGAAGAGCTGAGAAAGAAGCTCTGGCTGAAGATTGCACGACATGTGGTCCAGGAAGAGAAGGATGTCAAGAAGGCTATGGCCTGCCTTTCTAGCTGTGAACTGCTAAAGATTGAAGACGTCCTGCCTTTCTTCCCAGACTTTGTCACCATTGATCACTTCAAGGAAGCTATCTGCAACTCTCTTGAAGCCTACAACAAGCACATAGAAGAACTGAAGACGGAGATGGAGGAAGCAACCCAGAGCGCCAAGAGGATCAGGGAGGACATTCAGGAGATGCGGAACAAATATGGCTCCGTGGAACCCCAGGAGAAATGTGCAGCCTGTGACTTTCCACTTCTAAACCGTCCCTTTTATCTCTTTCTCTGTGGCCACATGTTCCATTATGATTGCCTTCTCCAGGTAGTTTATCCAAATTTGCCTGCCTATAAGCAGGTTAAGTTGGAGGACCTTCAAAAGAAGCTTTCAGCTACAAGCCAACCATCCAAACCCCACCATCGTCCTAAGGATACAGATGCGATTGGTCAAGGAAAGGGCCAGCCGAGTCGGGAACAGATGAAAGCTGACATCGATGATATTGTGGCTGCTGAATGTGTTTACTGTGGGGAACTAATGATCCGGTCAATTGACAAGCCTTTCATTGATCCGCAGAGGTATGAGGAAGAGATGCAGAGCTGGTTGTAGGGTCAACAGGTTTCTGACTGAACAGGAGTGTCAAAAGGTCTCACATAAGAGTGGGCAGCTGACTTCCAAGTATTTGAAACTTGGATTCTCCAGAGGTTTGCAGCAGTATTACACAAGTCTCATTCTCTGAGTCAGCTCTGTGGAATGCTTGTTATGCAAAGCACTCCAGCTGCTGGATTTGTGGAGATGCTTCCTCTATATAAATGTCGAATGGACTTTTCGCTTATTGAATGAGAACTAAAAATGATGGCTAGTGTTAACATCTGGGTAATTCCCCTGTTTCTGTGAAGAACTAGGCAATGGTGGAAATGTCCCATTGTATTACACACACAAAAGAGATTCAAATGTGAAGTTTCTCTTTGTTGTAAGTGAATAAAAGTGCACAAATTCTTAAAAGCAAGTAAATGTGCACAAACCCTTTTTCAGAACATGCATCCATTCTGTTAATATTGTGTTAAAACATTATTGTGTTCTATATGCAAACAAAGCAATTTCACAATTTCACATATCTCTGTCTCTCGGGATGATACTGTACTTTTCCCTGCTCCCCAGTCTCTTGAAATCTTATTTGAAGCAGAAGTTAACATTTGCTTAGGGTTTCTTCACTTTATTCAAAGTAAACGGAACAAGCAATGGCATTGGTCACTGGAAACACTTGTGCAAATCTGAGGTAAATTTTAACAAAGTTTCAAAATGCTCACATGAGTAGTCCCACTGCCCAAGTGCCACTTGTGAACCTAATAAAATCACTTTTCTGGATCTGCCTATGGGCTGGTGACCTTAAAACAAGACATTTAATAACCAATTCTACAGTTGGATTGGGATAACTCGGGACCCAGTTTTAGTGATCCTGAAATGGTTATAGGAAATTAAGATCTGAGCAACAATTGCGTAAGGCCTCAAAGCTTAAAATTGATTTCTGCCTCTTTCTTAAAAGGGTATGTTGTTGTGTATGTACACTGGGATAGAGATCAGGTAATATTGATAGCAGCTAAGGAACTTGGAAGTTTCAAATATGCTTCAAAAGGACTTTGTCACTCAACCCATGTTATCTAACAGCTTTGGTTCTGTACTGCCATTAATAATGTGTTAGATTGTATCTATACCTGAAAGTTTCCATAGTAAAACTCCTGTGATTATAATGTTGATTTGTGCGAGTTTCCCCTTTTAAATTGCATATCAAAAATTTCTGAAATAACTGGTTGACTTCAGAGTTTCTGTTGGCTTTTTGGAGTTTCCAATATTGTTACATTTTAGTAGAAAGCAAATACATGCAAATTTATTTTGTGTAGTGACTCAGTACCTTTCCCAGTTTCATTTAAAATATTGTTTGCATAGCTTATTGTTCAGACACTGATATTTATGTGCCATCTCAAAACAAGAACTGGTCACATCAAAACCCAGCACATATTTATAAGCTTGGCCAAACTTTATGTTACAACTATATTGGCTGGATGGCCACCTGTGCTTTGATTGTGCTTTTCCTGCATGGCAGGGGGTTGGACTAGATGGTTTCTTCCAACTGTGATTCTACTAGCTTTTAGAATTCACCATCAAAAATGGCATCTCAACATCCACAATCCAAATCCATACTGAAACAATTTGGATTTTTAAAAGCAACTGACCTTTACCCCTTAAATGTCTTACATTTTTGCTTGTAGTCATCAGGAGCCCCCAGTGATGCAGTGGGTAAAACCGCTGAGCTGCTGAACTTGCTGACCGAAAGGTCACCAGTTTGAATCCAGGGAGGGGATGAGTTCCCACTGTTAGCCCCAGATTCTGCCAACCTAGCAGTTTGAAAACATGCAAATGTGAGTAGATCAATAGGTACCGCTTTGGTGGTAAGGTAACGTCATGCCGGCCACATGACCTAGGAGGTGTCTATGGACAACGCTGGCTTTTTGGCTTAGAAATAGAGATGATCACCAACCCCTAGAGTCAGACATTACTGGACTTAATGTCAGGGGAAAAACTTCACCTTTACCTTAGTGAGTGGAAATAGCAGAAGAAGAACAAATGTCTTTATTTCCACAAAGCATTTAAATCTATTTGAGTCGAGCACCCAGATAGCCAAAATAGAAGACTAGAAACCAACTTCTGATTTTTGTCCTTTACCCTTGCCTTAGCAACCAGTCTTATTTGTTGTTGGGGTGTGAATGGGAAGTGTGTAGCCCTCTGGACTACTGGGAAGTGTGTAGCCCTCAATGGGAAGTGTGTAGCCCTCAACTCCTCTTACCCCTAGCCAGCATGTCCAGTGTTCATAAAATGCAGCCCTATAATGCGTGAAGGAAGCCAGATGTTCCAATCCTTTGTTAGGGTATAAGTTGGATGATTGTACCTTCTGTGGTCATGTTTTATGTGGTTGAGATTAAGAATAGGTGGCTAGTTTTACAAGACTTGGGATGAATGAGTCTGAAAGCAGACATAGCACTTTTATTCAGTCATCCATTGCCAGTGCAAAATATAATTTTAATAGTGTTTTAAATAGAGACAGAACTCATTAGTCTGCACTATGTTGTATGACAGTTACCTCTCAAGGTGGAACAGAGAATTTTTGTCCAAGGCTTGTGCAGTATATTGAGGATAGCAGTATTGCTATCAGGAAGTAAATCCTGATTTAGGTTCTAATAGTAGGAACTGGGAGCAGGCCAACTTTTTCCAGATGTTGAATTACAGCCCGCGTCATGCTTCTCTGTTTTGAAGATTTTGGACCAGGTTCTCCAACTTAAACCAGTTCCTCACCAGACAGAATTAAGTGTTATAAATATGTTTAGAAAAAGACTGCATTGCAGAAATATTTATGCATTATATGGCTAGTCATTATGTGTGTGATCTTTAAAAATATATATATATATATTAGGATTTGTGATGAAGGAGGATTGGCCATTGTCCTTCATGTGTAATTTGCTATAGAGACTGAAAAAAATGATAGAATTCCTGTTAAACTTCAGGAAATAATAACTGGGAATATATAAAAGAAGGCTTCAGGAAATTCTGTACTAATGTACCAAGTCAAAATATTCCCGGAAGACACACATAAACAATAGTAGGCAATTTGTTGTGCATTTATCCAAGATAACTGTATCCTTTACTTCATTAGTTTTGAAAAAAGATCAACTTGAGATTGGAGTAAAAATATAAGGTCAGCCACTAGATGTCACTTGTTTACTAAAGACTAAAGTTTGGATTATTATTAATTTTTTGGTTGTGTCAGGAGTGACTTGAGAAACTGCAAGTCGCTTCTGGTGTGAGAGAATTGGCCGTCTGCAAGGATGTTGCCCAGGGGACGCCTGGATGATTTTGATGTTTTTATCATCCTTATGGGAGGCTTCTCTTATGTCCCCGCATGAGGAGCTGGAGCTGATAGAGGGAGCTCATCCGCCTCTCCCTGGATTCGAACCTGTGACCTGTTGGGTCTTCAGTCCTGCCGGCACAGGGGTTTAACCCACTGCGCCACTGGGGGCTCTATACTGCCCATTCCTAGCAGTCTGATATCACTTTAAGTGTCTGGGGTTTATTTGCTTCTCATGCTGTGGTTCAGAGAAATACACTAGCGTTTTCTACCAGAAAATTCCAATTCACTCACCAGTCTATAAATCCCAAACAACCATAGGATGGATCCAAACTATACAATGTGGCTCACCTTCAGAATTGGTTTTCTGTGTCAAAAGCATTGCATAAAAAGCAATGCTTTTGGGTTGGAAAGATTAGCCGTTTACAAGACAGGTTTCCCCAGGGGACGCCTGACTGTATTTACTCAGTCCCCCTCAGAATAAACCAATTTATTTCAGAAACTTCTGTTATATGCAGAGTAATGATTTTATAACTGGCATTCATATATAAAATCCCAGGATTATTCCATAGCTGTAGAGGGACAAGATTGGTTAAGCCCCAAAGGGCAGCTTTGCTAAATAATTTCTCAGTCTATTCTATTCTATCCCTCACATATTTAAAAAGTGGCTACTTTGAGATCGTAGAGAATTCTGATGTAATAAGAATCCTAAATGAATCTGTATTCATCTGAGTATTAGGCTAGTTACTAGCATCAGGCCTAGAAGGAGGAAGTGATGGACTAAAACAAGGAATTCGGTGGCTTTGTTACATTTTCTGATTTTTGTGATTATGTTAATTGCTATTAATAAGCTGGATGTTTTCATACTTCTTTTCCTCTTTGAGCCACTACCTCTTCAAATTACAGAAACCCATTTGGTACAGTGAGATCTGAGCAAGATGCCAGTGTAGGGTTGTTGTAGGTTTTTTGGGATATATGGCCATGTTCTAGAATCATTCTCTCCTGACGTTTCGCCTGCATCTATGGCAAGCATCCTGAGGCCATATATCCCAAAAAACCTACAGCAACCTTACACTGGCAACTGAGAACCGCCAGTTTGGTAATTAGCTATAGTTCAAGATACAACATCAATGGGGCAGAGCTAGGAAATTGGAGTATAGTTCTCTGCATCCTCCAGTCAGTTTGGCTAGAGCCAAGTTGCTTGGGGATTCTGGGAGCTGTATTTTTTTAAAGGAATATATTGTGCAAATTCTGCCTGATGATATTAAAACTTATGTCCAGTAAAGAGATTGCTGCTGGTCCCAATAACATTTGTGTCTAAAGATGGTGCGAGTGCTTAGCAGAGCTCACTATGTTGGGAAGCTTAGGAGAAAAATTGTATAGTGTTACACCTTCTTCATTGCACTCACTGTTCAGGCTCAAAGTGCATATAGAATGACCTGCTGGAGCCCAAGGCCTGTTCTTGACCTCACTCCCAGCCATGCTGCTGCCTGCCAGATGTTCTCCCCTCGCCTCCTCTCTGTTGCTCTGTCAGAAGCATGCTAACCAGCCAACCATTTCCACTTCTCCAACCCCCCTTCCCAAACCCAGCGTTAGTCCTCCCTCCGCTTTTTCGCTGGTAAAGAAATGCCACCCCGATCAGATTCCACTCCAACATCAATGTTTAATATGGGAAGAGCAGGTGGGGGAGAGAGAGCAAAAAAATCCCTCTGAAATTGGGAAGCCGAGAAGAAAAGAAGGAAATAATTCTGAAAGGGCTGCGACTGATAGGAGAGGCCTGCTGCTGGTTTCCTTGTGGCTGCATTGTTCTTCCATAATATAAAGGTGAATTAAGGGCTTTATACGCTGACGTAATGAGAATAGTGTCTCCCGGCCTGCAGGTGCCCTTTATTGAATCTAGTGCAAATTTGAGCTGAGCAGGAAGGCAGTTCGTCCCCTCCCATGCTTGCTCCCAGATAGCCTACCATCTCATCTGGGTATCTCATACAGGTTGCTGGCGGGTAGCTTGTTGGCTTGCTGCCTAGGGTTTGTTTGGAGTCTGATAGTGGGTGGCAGGATCATAAGGAAGGTATGTACAGTCACAACATTTTATTCTGGCCGGACTTTGCTCTGGGATTATTATTTCCTCCCATCTTG